GAGGGATTCGAAAGCACGGCGAAGAAACGTAAAAGAGGCCGGCAAATCCTGTTTTGCGTCTCACGCGAATTCCTAATATCGGCGGCAGCTGATTGGACAGCGCTTGTACGCCAGCGGCCGCAGTGAAGCCGGCACTCACTTGATTCGATATCAACACTGTGATAGCGTCGAACTGCAAAACACCCATCAAAATCTAGATAAAACATTTCTGTAAATAAACTTTAATCTAAACTAGTTATTAGGTAGCATTAAGATGGTAGTCAGTTTGCCAGAAAACTTTAACTTATCAAAACATCCATAAATTGCATTATGAAATAAATTGTTCTAGAATGTTACCAAAATATAAGGCTACAAAAATGAGGCGAAATGATTATGTAGAACATTACTGTTCATCGTAAAGTCAGAATTCTTGTTGCGAAATAAAATTATTCCCCTAATGAATGGCAAATGTACAGTATGTACTGCAAAATAAAACATATTTGATCCTAACTTCTCATCACCACAGTAAAACATCTGCCTTATCCGAAACGTACAACAGTGAAAGGCTTAATTATTAAATAAGTTCTGAGGCTCACATCGGCAACGTGCTGTAGATGACTTTAGGATGATTGGTCCTCTGATTCTATAGTTGAATCAGAGAATGATGAACGATACAAATTCGGTTGAAATGTCTGAACTATTGTAAATAAACTGTTTTTCTGTTTCTCGTGCTACCAAATATGGAATCAGAAGACGTATCACCGAAGGCAACTTCTTCCTTGATTCTCGCAGTTTGTCGAGGCGTGAATCAAAATTGAAGTTGAATTTTACTGGAGTTTACCGAGGTCCAAATATTCCAGTAAACCATGTCGTAAGATGTTCACGAAAACGCATTGAAAAGAGCATATCGTAATATATGCCGTTGCAGTTTGTGTATGGTTCTATTCAATTTTCTGTGTAAGTGTGCCATTATATTAAGACAGGAAGAAGCTCATGATCTGATCACCGGTATAAGGGGCAACTTGCACTGTCATATTTATGAACAAAATCCGAATATCTCGAGCCAGGCTCAATTACTTATGAAGCTTTGGTTCATGATATCTTATCATTTCGCTTCGTAATGCGTGGATCATGATGTGGATTGTTTAAAACATATCAGATGTGTTGAGGAGATTGTGGAATTGAGATTTCCAAAATTAGTACAGATTTGACTAATTTTTAGATGGTGACGATTTAGCGGAACTGAATTTGAAATCATCAAGTAAAAATTTGTACTCAATGAAATTTTTGCTGTTTCTTCAAACTGAGGGAGATTACATCTGCGATGGCGCTGGCACATGATCAGAGTTACGGAAAAATTTTCCTTAAAATGAGCCTGTTTGGCAGCAACATAACAGACGACTAAGATACTGATCAAGGACCAGACAACTAAGGGATGATGTTCGCCTGATTTTGCAACTTTTTGAAACTGTGCCATTTTACCTGCCTCAACTTTCGAACCATGGAGGTCAGCAGAATGACCCAGTGTCTGCTGATTCCGCAACCTCATAAAAGTGGCTGTCACCGAAACTGCATAGGTGGATAAAAATAACCGGCGATCTCATGGAATATTTCGTTTGTGCTTCGGATGCCGCAATACAACCACCGTAAAATATGCTTCAGTTATGGCAGTACAAAATGACGCCTACCACTAGGATAAACCGCCATTTTGAATTGTGGTAAAAACGCACAATTCCCTGCCTTTCAGCGTGTCTAAGCTACAGTGCCAAGCAATCGATCAAAAATAATAAAAATAAGTACCGAAGAAAATTCACAGTGTAAGAGTGAATAACCCTCACAACATAAACGGCTTACCGTACATATACCGGTGAAAAACGACAATGAAGCTACAACCTGAAGGCGTGTAAGGGTCACGTTGTCGGCGATGGATGCGTTCAAACATAAAATCAATGGGTGAGTCCGATTACCGTAAGACTGGACGTCGAATAACTACCACTTTCATAGGTGATTGCTTCGCCCGGCGCCAAACGATAGGTGGCTGATGAAATCATTAAGCTCACGATCGCTGATACACCTGAAATACGTCAAGGTCAACGCCAACAGCGGGTGCATTCTGTTTATTCACAGACCCAACGAATTATGCCTTGAAGTACCCAACAAGAAGTACAGGAATCCCGGATAGAACGCCGTGTACAAGCCGTTAGACGGGGTTGCGCCGGCCATTTCACCGTACGCCATCGCTGAACAAACAAGAACATAATTTAACGCACATTGAACCGAATTGCGTCGAATATTTCAACCCTAAGGACTGTGCATCTCAACCCTGAGTTATCCATAAACTGTGAGGTTCTTGAAACGCAAACTATTATCTGACGCGTTACTGGGTGTGTTACTGAAATTGGCAGCCAGTAAATTGAGGAATCGAGTAAACGACAAGGCATTTTGGATTGAAACTCTGGCCTAGAATATATGGCATAACTCCATTTGACGGCGTTACTCCATGTGATCAACGAAAGTAATCTTTCACAGATCCTTCAAAATGTTCTGCAAGACGCAGTTATACAATTGGATCATGAGAGTGTTTTCAGAGGTTTCAGTGGCTGGTTACACAGCGTTTAGGGGATCCATTTCTAACGACAATCCTTGTTTCATTCACGAATTCCCATCGGAAGACTTTTACGACGTGTTGTTGTTTCACACCAAGGTTTCTCACTCGACGGAGCATCGAACTCAGAACCGATTAGTCCTGCGTTCAAGCTCTGGTCGTGGTCACTCGCCCTTCCTTATCCAAGCTTAATAAAGGAAGTATCACTCTGTGAGAAGGAAACAGGGGACTACACGCAACGCTTGATATGTGGGTATAGTCTTTGCTTCCAAAATAGGGCACTCCTGGCTAATGGCATAGAAACGGAGATCAGCAGCACACCATCAGCTTCGTGAAAGAAAGGCGTCAGAACAGCCCCTTCTCATGAAATTGTAAGGAAAACCGACATTCTAATGGGTGCAAACTTTTCCCTTTTCTAGCGGTTGTGGCACTGAAGATCTT